CCTTATTTTTAAATACAGCTGTGCCTTCCTCATCCCCTGCCCCACGGGTAAAGAAGAAAAGGGGATGGGTTTCAAATCTTTGCCAGCCCCTCTGCATCCTGGTTGGGGCGGCTTTGTGTGACCCCCACCAGCATCCCCCCACAACGGAGCAGGGCTGGGGACTCGGAGGGGGCTGGCGGGGGAACAAAGCCTGTTTTCCTACGGTCAGACTCGATCGCGAGCAGGGTTTGGGGCTGACAACTTCGCGCGCATTCACACGGGTTTACTGTTTCATGGCAAGTGAGGTTAAATCAGGCATGTTCGGAGTCACAGTACGACCTTTCTCTGCAACGGCAGTTTCAGCTCAGATGCTGCTAGCTGCACCAAAAGCTTTGCTGAGCGTCAGGAAGAACAAGCACCTCGTACCTTGTTTTTAGTAAAAAGTTCACAAAGATAAAGTCTGCGCAAACCACCACGGCGTCCTGATCTTGAGGCAAAAGCAAATCAAGAGGGGTTTCAAGTGCACTGGAAGGAAGAGCCAAATAATTCACACTCTTCTAATTTCTACATAAATACCAGGGACAAGGAAAATTGGTCTTTGCAAGACTAAGCCTTTCATGGCACTTCACCCCAAACCGGGGGTGCGTAAGAAGCCATGGGGGCTGGTACCAGCACCCGGCACACAGGGATTGCACTGTTTGGCTCTCGGTTGCGACTGATTGTCTGTAAAGCAATGGGAAATGTCATTAAGGAGCTGGGAGAAAAGAGGTTTCTTAAGAAGTACTGCGGTCTTGTACAGTGTAACAAAACTCTTTCTACGAATTAATTAGGCAAATACTTCTGACCATGTCATACCTGAAGGGCACTTAATGGCTCCGGCATTTATCTCGCAAGTACAGCGATCTGAAATACATATGCATTTTCAGCGTAATCCTTCGCCACTGTAAATCATGCACTGGAATGAGAGCGTATCTGGCAACGTTAATTCAGAGATATCATCCTACAGTTTCTGGCAATGGACCCCGATGAAAATAAATGGTTTATAAACACTGTCTGACATGCATGAGCCTTTCAAAATTATTTACAAGCGATGTTCTGGGAGCTTCGTTCCGAGGAAGTATTTCTCCTCTGTTCAGTTTAGATATTAAAACCTGCCGTGTGGGGAGGGGGGAGGAAGGCGCCGGCGCTACACAGTCACAGCCGGGTACATCTTCTGTTCGCTGGTGGCGTGCGGGTAGGGAGACTGGATCTGCCTGTAGCCGCTCTGCAAACCATCGAGGAAGGGGGGGACCGGGGTCAGCGGCATCGAGTCGTGCTGCACAGCGTAGCCCACGTACTGGGGGTGCAGGTACTGCCCCTGGTGCGGCACGATCTGGGTAGCCTGCTGGCAGTTCAGCACCGAGAAGTTGGTCGGCATGTTGACGTAGACGTTATTCATGGTCCCTTCTGGCAAACAGCAGTTGGTCTGGGACCGGGTCGGGGGGGCTCTGGCCCCCGAGTTGGCGCTGGAGCTGGAGCTGGCGGCGGTGCTCGACTGGCGGGAGGAGGAACCCCGGGAGGTGCTGGCACTCGGGATCATGGGGATCGTCTCCATCAGGCGGGTGCCCCCGGGGGCTCGGCTCTGCTGGGGCTCCTGCTTGGGCCGCAGGCATCTGCAGCAGCAAGCCGCCACCAGCGACCCCAAGATGATGAAGGCGACAAATACAGAGCCAACGATAAGGAACGGCACGTAGATGGGCACTGCAACAGCAAGGAAAACATCGTCACTGGGGTCAGGGACAAACCTCAGCAGCTCTGGCAAAAGCCCCCCCCCCCGACCCCAGCCAAGCCCACCTCCCCCCAGCACAGGTCAAGGGGAGTGAGCACTAAAAGCTGTGTCTACGGCTGAGCGTTTTACACAGGGAAGATGAAAAGGGCTACTAAAACCAATGGCTGGAGTTTCCAAAAGCATCTTTAAAGTTATTAGCGGAGAGGAAAGCCCACACCCCGCGCCTCGATGGAGGACAGCTCGCTCCCATCAACGGTGGTCAAGTCCACATCAACCACCGCTCCACATTTCACCAGCTCTTGTCTCCGATACACCCTCCTAGAAAAATCAGGCAAGAGACCGCTGGGTTTGAACAGTGCCATAGGGAGATACTTCGGGCAGGATATCTGCCCAGGAGCACAGGGCGGTCAAACCCCGGTGCTGCATCGCATCCCTCCCCATCACCAGCCCTCTCTGACTGCTGGCACCCCTTGGGGCAGGGAGAGAGCCAGGCGGTGACGAGGCAGCCATCACGGGGGCTCTGCCACCCCGCAGCCCCCAGGATGAGTGTCCGGCCACTCTGTGCTTCAGCCCTGGGTTTAGGGAGAAACCACGCGCCAAAGGTTCACTACCAGCAGACCTTGCGAGGCTTAGAGAAGGGACATCAGGGCAGGAGGAGTGAGGGTGGGCGAGGGGTGGGAGCAGAAGGTTATGGGTGATGCTTTAGCGGTGGGGTTGGGAGCTCAACAAGGCGGACAGTGAACACCATCCTCAGAAGGACCTGGGCTCCGATTACTCTGCACTCCCAGGGAAAAAGCTGTTTTCTCTGCCTCAGTAAGAAATCTGCATCGATGCATCTGGGAGTTAAGGAGGGGAGAGTGCCTTCCTCCAGCGCTCGCGAACGCTCCAGGCAACATGCCTTGGGCTTCATCATTTCCACTGAAACCCGGCAGCCCGAAGACCCGGGCAGGGCTGCAGACCCCTGCCTGACTAGCACTAACACAGCTGCTGCCAACGACGTGCCCTGGCACAGCAGCTGCCCCTCCTGCAAGTTAACCAGTGCCAGCGCGGAGTGACAGCTCCTGAACCTGCTGAACAGTAACTATTAATGAAGAAAATTAATTGTTAAGAAAAATGCCTTGTCCTCAGAACTGCAAAAAGGGGTTTATCTGTCCGCTCAAGTCGGAACGCCTCCTTGCACAGCTGATGACACAGAGCAAGTTATAACCAAAAGGCCACATTTCCTCTATTATTTTAGCACTTTCTAAACAAAAGGCTTGCAAAGAATTGTCGCTACTTCTGCGCCTGGCGCTGCAGCAGCTCTTGAGCAGGTGCACGCACTTGCTACAGACTGTAACATGCAAGTTTTCCGAGAGCAAGTCTGTCCTAATTATAACATCACTTCGGGCTACTCCTAGTGCGTTCAGCACATGTGGATGGCAGCGAGGGCGCTGGGAAGCCGCGGAGGCGTTTTTTTGAAACAACAGCAGTGGAAAGACTTGAGTTTATCCTCGAAACTCAACCGTCTGGTAAAAAGCAGTCCTATGCAGGGAAGGAATGTGTGCTGGAAGAACATAGAAAATTAGAGCGGGCGCCAGCTAGAAGTCG